CATGAAATTCCTTAACCAGGAAGGCGAGGTTTAACAATGAGCGAGATCACCACCACTGCAGTCCGGCTAGCCTTGAACTCCCGACCTCAGGTGATCCGTCCGCCTCGGCCTCCCAGCTGTTTTCCTCTTCTAAAGGGGTCTCTGCACCCACAAGGATCAATCACTTTCCTCTCTGTTCACATGTCTGTCTTTTCACAGGAGTATAGTTTAAGAGACTACTTATTTTGTTCTGAAGTGTTTTCTTATACAAAAAAACATAAATGTATCCTTGTCTTCTTACATGGCATGTTTCTGTGGCAAAGTTTGTCCTCTACATAAGATAAATTCCCATGTGGGCATGGTGACCCCCGCCTGTAATCCCAGCACTTTGGGAGGCCGAGGTGGGTGGATCACCTGAAGTCAAGAGTTCGAGAACAGCCTGACCAATATGGTGAAACCCCTCTCTACTAAAAATACAAAAATTAGCCAGGTGTGGTGATGTGCACCTGTAGTCCCAGGTACTCAGGAACCTGAGGCAGGAGAATCACTCGAACCCGGGAGTTGGAGGTTGCAGTGAGCCAAGATCGTACCACTATACTCCAGCCTGGGCAACAGAGCAGGACTCCATCTCAAAAAAAAAAAAAAAAAGATAAATTCCCATGAAACTTACATTTTCATACCAGTTTTCTGCTAACTATTTTATAGCTGCTGTTCAGGGTTAAAGTAAATCCATTTTAAAACAAATTCCTAGTAAGGGTGGTGGCTTATACCTATAATCACTGTATTTGGGAGGCCAAGACAGGAGGATTGTTTGAGCTCCGGAGTTGGAGGCTGCAGTGAGCTGTGATTACACCACCACACTACAGCCCGGGTGACAAAGCAAGACCCTATCTCAAAACCAAAAGAGGCCGAGCACAGTGGCTCACGCCTGTAATCCCAGCACTTTGAGGCGCCAAGGCAGGATTGTTTGAGCCTAGGAGTTTGAGACTAGCCTGGGCAACATGGCAAAACCCATCTCTACAAAAATACAAAAATTAGCCAGGTGTGGTGGTGCACACTTGTAATCCCAGCTACTCAGGGGGCTGAGGCAAGAGGATCACTGAGCCCAGGAGTCCATGGCTGCAGTGAACCATGTTTGCATCACTGCACTCCAGCCTGGGCAACATAGCAGAATCCTGTCTAAATAAAAAAATTAAAATTAAAAAACGCCAGGTGTGGTGGCTCATACCTGTAATGCCAACACTTTGGGAGGCCAATGCAGGAGGAGAATCGCTTGAGGCCACAGGTTTGAGACCAGCTTAGGCCACATGGTAAGACGCCATGTCTATTACTTAAAACAAAAACAAAAATGTCACAGGCATGCCTATCTACGGCCTGCCTGCTCGCCCTCCCTCTTCCCAGTGTAAGACGAGGCAAAGATCACCTGCTGCTGTCGGCTGTGATGCTGCACTCTACAACAGGAGCCTTGGGCCTGTGCTCAAAATTGCGAACCACAGAACCATCCACCGCATCCTCAAATCAATGGGAGAGAGAGGAGAAGAGAGTGGTCACTGCCGTGTTTGCTGAAGTCATAAATCGAGGTCAACATTAGCCCTTAGCTTATCTCTGGTAGCAAAATCTGAGAACTCCACGGTCCTGGGACTCTCACTCAGCTCCGAAAGAGGAAAGGACTTTGCAACATGTCCCCTGAGCAGGAAGGACACCCTTGCCATTCTTGGCATCCATGGGAAATTACCCCGCAATTCCACAGACACCAGGTGGAAACTGGCCATGCTGGGGGCACAGCTGCAAACGGATGGTGTTTTCCTTTCCTACCGGCCAAAAAGGCTTTGCAGAATCTAGCAGTGTTTTCTGGGCCGGGCGCAGTGGCTCACGCCTGTAATCCCAGCACTTTGGGAGGCCGAGGTGGGTGGATCACTTGAGATCAGGAGTTCGAGACCAGCCTGGCCAACATGGTGAAACCCCATCTCTACTAAAAATGCAAAAATTAGCTGGGTGTGGTGGCACGCACCTGTAGTCCCAGTTACTGGTGAGGCTGAGGCAGGAGAATCGCTTGAACCCAGAAGATGGAGGTTTCAGTGAGCTAAGATCGTGCCACTTCATTCCGGCCTGGGCGACAGAGTGAGACTCCGTCTCAAAAAAAAAAAAGAAAAGAAAAGAAAAGAAAATGATCGTCTTGGGGTGTGGGATCGAGGCCCATGCACGCACTCTGGGAGGGCCGGGGCCAGCTCAGGGCAGCGCCAGAATGGATCAGGGTCCATGGGGCTGTGCAGCTTTAGACTCGACAGTGACACCACATGGCCAAGAGCAGGAACAGCCACTGTGCACAGATCGGCCCACTCCCTCCACACTGGGCATTTGGAAGCAGGACCCCACCCTGTGGACCCAGACAATTTAAAGGGCAAATACTGGTTAGACTTCAAATGAATGAGGGAAAGGGGTTCTAATAAATAGTTGGAAAATAAAGGAGATGTGACAGTATTTGGCATCTAAGTTTATGGTGAGTACATATTCAGTATTTCGGTACAGTCCCAATTTCATAAATGTATGTGGATGTGCGTGGACAGGAAAAAAATACCTATGCCAACATTTTCACAGCCGTTAACTCTGGGGTCAATGGAAAGATGAGTTTTTTCTTTCTTGTGTTTTCATGTGTTTCCTGTAATAAAATCATATTACCTTTGGAATAATATGAGAAAAACTACCAAACTTTTTTTTTGTTTGTTTTGAGACAGGGTCTTGCTCTATCACCCAGGCTGGAGTGCAGTGGCAAGAACACGGTTCACTGCACCCCTTGGCCTCCTGTGCCAAAGCCATCCTCCCATCTCAGCCTCCCAAGTCACTAGGACCACAGGCACACGCTGCCGCGCCTGGCTAATTTTTTGTTTTTGGTAGAAACAAGGTCTCACTATATTGCCCAGGCTGGTCTCAAACTCCTTGGCTCAAGCGATCCTCTTGCCTCAACCTCCAAAAGTGCTGCGATTACAGGCATGAGTCACTGTGATCAGCATTTTTATTGTTTTGTTTTGTTGTTTTGTTTTGTTTTTGACACTGGATCTCACTCTGTTACCCAGGCTTCAGTGCCGAGTTGCAATTATGGCTCACTGCAGGCACCACCTCCTAGGCTCAAGCAATCCTCCCAGCTCAACTTCCGGAGTAGCTGGGACTACAGAAGTGCACCACCATGCCTGGCTAATTTTTTATTTTTTATTTTGTAGAGATGACGGTCTTGCTACATTGCCCAGGCTGGTCTCAAACTCTTGGCCTCAAGCAACTCTCTTGCCTCAGCCTCCCAAAGCGCTGGGATTACAGACGTGGGCCATTGCACTCAGCTTTCTGGGAGCCTTAAACCCTTTCTTAATCCTCTGGGGTGACTGAGAGGCCCCGGGGCAAGGGAGCCTCTCCCCTTGTCATTGCCCAGGGGTTGGGATGGTAACTTACCACCTGTATTATGGTCCACCTTGTATCTTCCAATTCCCCCACATTATTCCCCCACCACCACCACCCTGCCTTTTTTTTTTTTTTTTTTTTTTTTTTGTATTTTTAGTAGAGAAGGGGTTTCACCATGTTGGCCATGCTGGTCTCGAACTACTGACCTTGCGATCCACCCGCCTGGGCCTCCCAAAGTGCTGGGATTACAGGCATGAGCCACTACGCCCGGCCCTTGTTTTCCCTTTTGAGTTGGCAAAAGGGCCCCCTGGGGCTGCTGTCTGTGTTGGCCAAAGGGCTCTTTTCTCCGTGAAGGGAAGGATGCCTGTTTTCACCTTGGTTGTTGTCCCAAGATTAGAGAACCTAATCTTGGAGAGACCCTCGGTCCCCACAGCAGCCTCCTTGTTCTTGTTCCCTGCCCGTTCCATGCCGCATCCACAATGCGGGCACTGCCACCTCGGCCACCTCGTATGCCCTCCTTCCCATAAGCCGTCCTTCTCCATGTCCCAGGAAGCACATCCAAGTGTTCTCCACCCACACCACGGACCACTCCCAGCCCTCCTCCCTCCACCACCTTCTCCAGGCAGCCCCCATCCCTGTGCTCCCTCCCTCTGCCCTCCTAGCGCCTTCGCCCCTTGTGCCATAAATCGCCACCTCTCCTCTGAGCCCCTACCTTTGCTGGTCCCATTGACTGCCACTCCAGGGACCTGTCTCCTCCCCTGGCTCTCTCCTCCCATCTTTGTCCCCTCCTGCTGGCTCCTTGAGACCCTCAGTTGTGGCTCCCACCATGCGCTCCATGTCCCTCCGTAGGGGGTGAACCCATAACCCTACATAGTCACCTCCTCTTGTCACAGTATCTTGGCCAAAATCTCCGCTGGCCTCCCCTCTCTGCCTCATCCACTGACCCCGTTTCCAGTCCCTGTCCCCAGCAACACCTCAAATCCAAATACCTTTTAAATCTTTTAAAAGCCCCTTGTCCTCTAGGTGCGGTGGCTCACGCCTGTAATCCCAGCACTTTGGGAGGCCAAGGCGGGCAGATCATCTGAGGTCAGGAGTTTGAGACAAGCCTGGCCAACATGGTGAAACCCCATCTCTACTAAAAATACAAAAATTAGCCGGGCGTGGTGGTGGGTGCCTGTAATCCCAGCTACTTGGGAGGCTGAGGCAGGAGAATCGCTTGAACTCAGGAGGCGGAGGTTGCAGTGAGCCGAGACCATGCCATTGCACTCCAGCCTGGGCCACAAGAGCAAAACGCTGTCTCAAACAAAAACAAAAACAATAAAAACCCTTTTTCCCTAATTGGAGATTACTGTGAATAACTTGGAAAGTCCATAAATGTACAGAGAAGCTGGGGAAAATATTTCTTTTTTTTTTTTTTTTTTTTTTTTTGAGCGGAGTTTTGCTCTAGTACCGGGCTGGGGTGCAGTGGCCGATTCAGCTCAAATGCAAGGCGCCCTCCGGGTTTACGCATTCTCCCTGGCCTGAGCCTCCGAGTAGCTGGGACTACAGGCCCGGCCACTCGCGCCGTTAGTTTTTGTATTGTTTTTTAGTAGAGACGGGTTTCACCGTGTTTAGCCAGGATGGTTCTCGATCTCCTGACCTCGTGATCACCCATCTCGGCCTCCCGAAGTGCTGGGATTACAGGCTTGAGCACCGCGCCCCGCAAATATTCTTAATCCTATGTCCCATCTCCTCTAATATTATTGCCACCTTTTTTCTGGTCATTTAAAATAAGTTTGGGGCTGGTTGTGGTAGCTCAGCTGTATCCCAGTGTTTTGGGAGGCGAGGAGGAAGGATGGCTTGAGGCCAGGAGCTCAAGACCAGCCAGGCAACAGAGGAGAATCCCTCTATATAAAAATGAATAATATGAGCCGGCATGGCAGCCATGCCTGTGGTCCAGATACTCAGTGAGCTGAGGTGGGAGGATCACTTGAGCCAGGAGGTCGAGGCGCACGTGAGCCATAATTGCACCACTGACTTCAGCTGGGCAACAGAACTGAGATCCTACGTCAAAAAAAAAAAGAAAAAAAAAGGGGGGCTCCACACACCTGTTAATCCAGCACTTTTGGAGGCTGAGGCAGGAGGGTCGCTTGAACAAGGAGTTTGAGACCGCCTGAATGTGAGACCCTGTCTGTACCTAAAACAAAAAAATTAGCAGGTAGGCATGGTGGTGTGCTGTAGTCCAAGCGACTTGGGAGGCTGAGATAGGGAGGATGCCTTTAGGCAAAGGAGGTAAAAGGCGCAGTGGAGCCGTTTTCCACTGCACTCCAGCCTGGGTGATAGAGCATACCCTGTCTCAAAAAAGAAAAAAAAAAATGAGTTGGTTGTTTTTCTCATACTATTACAAGGTAATATGATTTTATTACAGGAAACACATGAAAACACAAGAAAAGAAAAAACTCATCTTTCCATTGACCCCAGAGTTAACGGCTGTGAAAATGTGGCATGTTTGTCTTTTTCTTTTTTTTTTTTTTTTTTTTTTTTTGAGATGGGGTCTCTCTCTGTCTCCCAGGCTGGAGTGCAGTGGTACAATCTTGGGTCACTGCAACCTCTGCCTCCCAGGTTCAAGCAATTCTCCTTTCTCAGCCTCCAGAGTAGCTGGGACTACAGGCGCCCGCCACCACACCCGGCTATTTTTAGTAGAGACGGGGTTTCACCATGTTGGTCAGGCTGGTCTTGAACTCCTGACCTCAGGTGATTCACTCATCTCGGCCTCCCAAAGTGCTGGGATTACAGGCGTGAGCCACCGCGCCCAGCCAGCATGTGTCTTTTTTTTCCTGTCCACACAAGTCCGCATACATCTATGAAACTGGGACCTTGGTGGCCCATGCCTGAAATTCCAGCACTTTGGGAGGCTGAGGCAGGAGGATTGCTTGAGGGCAAGCGTTGGAGACTAGCCTGGGCCATGTAGCAAGACCCTCATCTCTACAATATAAATATAAAAAATTAGCTAGGTGTGGTGGTGCACTCCTGCAGTCCCAGCTACTCGGGGTGTTGAGATGGGAGGATTGCTTGAGTCCAGGAGGTTGAGGCTCCAGTGAGCCATAATTGCACCACTGCACTCCAGCCTGGGTGACAGAGAA